ACACCATGGGAGGTTGCAGACGTTCAATGGTCCCCGTTCGCTGCCCGAGACTATTGGGTCGTTAGCACATCAAACCAGAAGGCGTTGGTATGGAACCTGGGCATGAAATCCTCGCCAAGCTCGATTGAGCACGTTCTGCACGCCCACTCTCGAGCCATAACAGACATCAACTTCTCCGCACACCATGCAGATATGCTCGCGACGTGTGCCGTTGATAGCTTCGTCCACTGCTGGGATCTGCGGACACCCTCCCGTCCCGCTATTTCATTCTCTGACTGGCTTGCTGGAGCAACACAGGTTAAATGGAACCGACAGGACCCCAACGTTATTGCCAGTTCTCACGACAAGTTCTTGCGGATATGGGACAAGCGGATGGGCGCGTATCCGATCAAGTCTATTGAGGCACACAACACGAAGATTTATGGGCTGGACTGGAACAGGGTACGGCCAGGGGCTCTTGTAACGTGCTCTCTCGACAAGACGATCAAATTCTGGGACTACACAGTGGACACAGAGGTACCGGAGAAGGTGATCAAGACGCCGTTTCCAGTATGGCGAGCAAGGAATACTCCTTTTGGATGGGGTGTCTTGGCCATGCCACAAAGAGGAAACAGTGATCTCCACTTATATAGCCGGAGAGCTGGGGAGGGTTCTACTTCGAATGATGAGCTTCCTCTGGTACACAGCTTCCTAGGACACAAAGGCCAGGTGAAAGAGTTTCTGTGGAGAGCACGCGGGGAGATAGAGGATGGTATTGATAATAGAGAGTTCCAGCTGGTGTCTTGGGGCACGGATCGTGAACTACGCTTACACAGGGTCGATCCGGATATTATGCAAAGGGTTGGCTTTGAGAAAGGGAAGACTTATGTTTCCAATATGCAGCTCACGCGCAAGGGCGCACTGTATAGGTCATATCGGGATACGCCTATCGATGAAGAGGAAGAAGATATGGACTCGCTGTCGCCCACCACTCGACAGAGCTCCACACCTCAGACGTCTCGTAACCCCGGCATGAATACAATCTCGGTCCCATACGCTCGCGCATGGACGCAGAGCGGGGCCAACGCCGATTCTAGGATCGGTATGCAGGGTCGGACAAACGTTCGCACGGATACTAATCCTATTTCATGGATGCGTGGCGTGAAAATATCCGGATGGGATATCGAGACCCTGGGCGATGAGATTACCCATGTCGGAGAAAAGTTCACCAAGGTTGCTTTTGAATCGGTCGATGTCAGACAACGAAAGGCAACTATATCCCTTCACGGACCATGGGGTGCTGATGGTGACTCTATCTTCATGAAAGTCGATATTAAATTCCCCGTTGATTACCCTCGAGATGCCATGCCAACATTCAGTGTGCAGAAGACTGCCGCTGTCACCGACCAACTTGCCGACAAGTTGATAGCTGAACTTCGCACGATTGCAGAGACCTTCCTTGCTCACAAACGAGGATGTCTTGAGGGGGTCGTTCGCTACCTCTTGGGCGAGAGTACCTTGGAAGAAAGCATAGCATGGATTCTTGGGGAAACGGCAGAAACCGTAAAGTCTCCCATCAACGGCCAACTAGGGGGTGAGGAGTCCAGTGATGAAGATGAGGTCGGCTTGTCCCAAAGCCAAGATCTAGGCATGAGTTCTGAACTGCTTCGACCGGTCAATGCCAATGTCATGGTCCCGGTAGCCAAGGGATGCGGTGCACTATGGGCCAACGACGGTCGCTTGGTGTGCTTCTTCCCATCTAGGAAAGACAAGTCCAATTGGCTTGAAAACCTAGGGTTTAAGGAAATGACCAGGTTATCCAGAGCGGACAAAGTCTTCGAAGGCTTTGGTCGTCTGCAGACCAATTCACCTGGGCCTCGGACGTCGGTCACAATGGCCAGCACTGACGATGGCGCTTCTGAATATTCCGACGATTCGGACGCCGAATCGTCAAGCTCTTCCGGGTCTTCGGGTATCTTGTCAGGGCTCCAGCACCGGTTTCCAACGCCCCAGACATGGCGGAGTGGTGGCAGTCTGGGACTCTATCGTCCGCGCTCTACAGATAACTCCCAAAGGTCGACCGTTGGTGCGATGACATCGAAATCATCTGAAGGCTCGCAAAATGTCATCTCAATCCACGACTTCAGTGATCTGCTACCAGCCAAGCGGGAACTGGCTAGCAAATATCGTATCTGCGGCAAAGTCACGGACGTTTGTGCGCATAATTCAGCTGTAGCTCTCGACCACGGTTATTACGAGCTGGCTCGGATTTGGGGACTTGTCAGGCTTATCTTGCACAACTGCAAGAGCTCCATGTTTTCGTCCGGTTTTGACACCCTGGATAGACCGTACATTCAGAGGAAGGATAGCGCCGTGGATCTGAGTAACGACATGGGAAGCCAGGACCAACGTCACAAGGGCTTTCTGAATTCTGTCATTCAATGGGGCGACCATCCATTCGGCGGTCAGTGGCTGCTCCCTGCTCTCTTCGAACATTTTGAACAAATCGGCGACGTGCAAATGATCGCGATGCTATCTTGTGTTTTGCACGAGGCCAACATTGACGAGGCGTCCAAAGAACACGCTCATGTCAGTCGGGCCGTTTCCAGGCGGATGGAGGAGCATGCATTTTCATTTGATTTGTATTCCCCCAACTCCGTTACGCAGAGCAAACCGCAGACGGCCGTGCCGCTTGCTTCAACACCGAAGGACAGCCACGCAACGCCCATTACCCATAGTTCTGGGCGTTCTTCATCTGAGATCTGGCGTCCCGATTCCACGCCGCCATATTCCACAGGAACAACCCCTCCTCTAGCCACTCGAGCCGGTCCCCTAGCAGCAGACCGAAAGACATGGACCCAGAACATAGCAATCGCTGCTTCGCCTGACCAGCAATCACAACCACGCAGCGGCTCCGGCATCGGTTCTGTTCTAGCCTCGTCTCTTTCCCGTTCTCTTACATTTGGTCCTTCGTCAGCATCTCCTCCAGCAACCGCCTTGTCACGGAAGGTTTTCAATCCCAACGGCAGCCCCAACACAGTCGGAGGGCCAGGGGTATGGGTGACGAGTGCCTTTACTGCGAAACCAGTCTCAGCCATTCCCGACTATCTAACTACCTCCACCGCGCTCACGTCACAAACCCACTCTGACACGGAGAGCGAGCGACCTACTCCCGCCAAACCGTCGACAAAGGTTCGCGCAGTCCTAAAGAACCAAGCTGCTTTCGAGGGCAACGGACAATCGCAGAGTACTTTCCTCGACCCCAAGAAAGAATGGCTATACCGATCGTACCGCGCAGCATACGCTCATCTGCTCTCTATATGGGGACTACCCGTGCAACGTAGCGAAGTGCTGAAGATCGGCGGGACCCCCAATCCCACCAAAGAGCCAACACACCGTCGCCACAGAAGCCACCACGATTCATTCTCCCTCCCCAGCTCCAAGCGCCGCAGCTCAACAGCCGCGCCTACCGATACCGACAACCAAGGTCTCGAGATCCAACGCCACTGCATCAGCTGCGGCCAAGCCCTACAGCACTCCATCTTCGCAACCAAAGCACTCACCGAAGCAATCCCCAAGAGCCACATAAAGGGCATAACACCCCCTCCCCTCACCTGCCCCCACTGCAAACCAAAACAGCCTCTCCCTCTCCGACTCCCCTGCGTCATCTGCAGCGAAGTCGTCGAAGGCATGCTCATCCCCTGTCTCGGCTGCGGTCACGTCAGCTGCTTCGACTGCCATCGAGGCTGGTTCTCCATGGCACCGGACACCGACCAGGAAGAATACCACTTCTGCCCTACCGGCTGTGGCTGCAAATGCGCTGATTACATCGACCCAGACATCCCCACGAACCCGTGGAAACTTAACCCGACCTCCCCGAGCACCCACGGCAGCGACACCTCCCTCCACCGACACCGCGCCAAGCCCTCCGATGGATCCGGATCCTCGAAACACGGCAGTGAAATCGTGGCTAGTGTCGGCCAGCACGAAGAGGATCTGGAGAACTGGCAGGCTGCGTCGCCGTTTGCGTCTCTTGCTCGGGGTCTTGGTGGTGGTTTGAGTCGAGGACTACGGGTTAAGGATGAGAGGAGGAAGTCGAAGCCGACTTCGGCGCCGTTTGTTCCGAAGAGGTCGTCGATGAATCAGGTTGAGAGTAGATGAGCTTTACTTCAGGTCTTTGCTGTTGCTTGCTTGCTGTCTGTCTGTGATTATTCTTGGCCTTCATATTATGATGCTTCATGTATACCAATACCCATTGATTTTGTTGTTTGTTCAGCGAGGTGTGTTTTATTTACCATATGAAAAGCGAGTGTGTTTGATATTATTACCATTATGATAGAAGGTGTGATTACTAGTAGATGTCGAGGTCATGAGCCTAGTATTAAATAGCATTACGTCGATTGATACAATGCCCAACCATTACGGACAGATAGGTCATGGACTATGTATCTCTGCATTACAACCCCCCAACTAATTTCATGACCAGTCATCTAAATGGCATAGTAACACTATCTTCCACAGACCCAACAAGAACCATGGAAGTTACGGCCTCCTTTAAAACCCTCTCATCTTTATATCCCCAGAAATGGAGAAAAGTATAATCATTGCTTTCATTGTAAGAAAAGCCGACTAACCTCTTCCTTTCCGACAAACAATCCTAAGCTCAAGCTCAAGCCCCAGCCCCAGCTCCAGCTCCGGCTCCAAGCTCCAAAAGGATATTGAATACCATAAGCAAGAAAAAGAAGAGAAAAACGAATCTGCTCAGCGCGCACACCCACAGGGCAAAAAAAAAGAGCAGCACACACAAGCCTCATTCACCTCATCCTTCCTCTTTTAGATATATTAGGATCCCATCCAATCCAGTAAACGGAATAATGTACCGACAGTGGTCCGTCCGTACAACGAATAAGAAGGGGAAAAAAAAAGTTGTCAAGTGGCAACGAAGATGATATCAATTCCTCTCAAATAAAATTCAAGCTGATGGTTGTTAAAAGGGAGATAAAAATAAATTTTTAATAAATTTACTCGACGTTGCTCTCGAAGTTCTCGCCCTCAACGAGATCGGGGATATCATCCTCCTCATCGTCCTTCTTGCCGTCAGCGCCGGCCTGGTTCTTCTGCATGTTCTGGTAGCTCTCGGCGAGCTTGCGGAGGGAAGCAAGGCTGTCGGGGCCAAGCTGGTTCAGGATACCGGGGACGAGCTCGGTGAGTTCCTTCTCCTCGCCGTTGCCGTAGAGGGCGAAGGTGTTGGAGGGGACGGAGGCGTGGACTATATGCCATCATAAATATTTCAGTATTCTGCTTCATGTGATAGGTTGGGTAAAAAGGCAAGAGGAGGTGGGGATGGATATACCCTTAGGAGCACCAAAGTGGATGACGTTTCCGTCCTCCTTGAACATGTTAACCTCCTCGATGGCCTGGATGGGCTGGACGTTCATCTTCTTCAGGGTGGCCTGGAGCTTCTTGTCGTCGGCACCGGAGGACTTGTGGACCTTCTTGACCTTGCGGCGGGGAGTACCCTTGCCTCTGTTGTGTTGTTAGTTTCGTTGCGTGGGTTCTGGTTCGTAGATTGGGTCGGGTTGGGGAGTGGTGATGTGTGTGTCTCGTGGGATGCGAATGTGTGTGTCATTATACGTACCCTGTCAGAGTGAGAAAGGTATGTTAGCTTTAGCTGTTCCTCATGATAACTTGGTATAAAAACAATAATAACACGCAACAATATCAATCAATCCGACATGATCCCGAGCTTCCGAGCGAGCCTATTTGCTCCTCCTCTTCTTTCCTCTTTCGTTCCTTGCAGAATCGAATCGGATCGGGATCCCATAATACCACCCCAAATAGCTCTCTCGCTCTTCCCCCCACCAATAATCCCTCCCATGATTATTGATTATAAATCGGATGCGAACGGAGCAATAACAAAATATACGAAAGGAATTAAAGAGAAAAGAAGTGGTACATACCAATCCGCACGCTCTGCTGCATTCTAGCCAACTTTGCCTGATCCATTTTGACGGGAGTATTGAAGCTTGAGTGCTTTCAACCTGTGAAGAGGAGGATTAAAAAATCCAAAGACGTCAGATATCGATCTTTCCTAATTTTTGAGTGTATAATGTGTGTATTGTGGAAATTGTGCAGAGTCATTCTCGCGTAAAGAAGAGGGGAGCGGAGCGTTTTTGAGCGTCGAATTCGCGCGACCGGATCGAATTGGAATTGGGAACGAATAAATTCGGGACAGAAGATTCGCGGGATGACTCGTCGTTGAGTGGGAGAAGAGCGACAAAGTATTTCGAAATGTCCAGAGGGAAAAAACGGGTTCTAGAGGGAGGAATAATGGGGGGTTATAATACGTACCTAAAGGAGATGATGGGGGGGAGTATTTGGTGCTGGAGAGAGAAGAAGAGGAGGGAGGTGAAGTGGGAGGATGAAGATGAGGATAGTTCAAGTTCGATGATGCGCTTCGCACGGGTTTGTGTGGGGAGCAGAGCATGCAAAAGCCGACTTTACGTTCTCAGTACTTCTACGACAATGATATTATTCTCTACGCAGTGTAGCTCGTTAAGTAGAATTTAAGATATTGTTCTTTATGATAGGGTTATATTATGTGCATTTTTGGCTATGGGACTACAATTTTCATGGGAAAGGCGCTTCGTGGCCGTGCTGGATGAAGTTGGTTGTGGGCGAAACGAGGAATCTGGACAGGGAGGCTCCTCGGCTAAACCCTAACGATTGCGGCCGCTGCTGACTTTCTAGACTGGCATCGATGGGGGGAGATCAGCAACATTTCAGATGTCATCAAGGTATAGTGGAATTGGCAGGGACATTGGATTGGGATTTTCTTTTCTTTCTTTCCATGGGCAGCAGGTTGGTCCCTTTTTCTTGCGAGGTTGTTTGGCACCTTGGGACAAGATTGTGCCACCAATGGCTTTCGCCCGGATTGACGCTCACCACCCGCTTTCCGGCATCTCATACCCAATCCGGTAATCTGCGAGTTTACCCGTCTTCAACCCCGCGATCCGGACCCTGAAGAACAGTCGGGAATCACATCATGTTATTCCATAGGTATCAAGAAATTGATATAAATATAACAACCACTGCTGTCTCCAAAAGATGGTGATGCATATCCTGAAAAGAATATCCGTCGACATCTCTAACTACAGGTGCAGCGGGGGTAGACCAAACCATCACTGGAACCGGACAAGTTTACGATTTCTCTGCAATCTGCTGCTCAGTCCACACCCACAGTCGCCGTGCCATGTCGACGTCCTTCGCGTACCGGTTGCCCGTGGCGTGCACCCCAATGGGAACATAATAAGCCCCGTTGGTCAACAGTTCTCTTCTCGCCCCTGCGGCCCAGAGCTGATTGAGTGCACCGCTCCGTATGCTCCGACTGAACGCAAGGATGGCACCGATAGTGTACTTGGCTACGACACCGGTCTTAATCGTATAGTCCCATAGGTCGCTCACGACGGAGCCGGGATGTACCGCGACAGACAGAATCTCCGGATGGCGACGAGCCAGCTCCGACGCAAAAAGGATATTCGCTGCCTTCGAGGCACTGTACCGGGTCAATGTGTGGTCGGCTAATAAAGCCGGCGTAGAGGTCATGACATCGTAGGGAGGCGCGGCGACATTCGCGGCAGAGGCCAATGTTACTACTCGGACATCCCTGGAAAGTTCAACCGTTCGTTGCAGCGTGGGCAGTAGTAGCTGGGTGAGTAGGAAATGTCCGATATGATTTGTCCCGAATTGAATCTCGAATCCTTCCTCTGTCAGAGCGGGCGGGCAGTTCATGATTCCGGCGTTAAGAACCAGGAGGTCCAGGCGATCGCATTCTGACGTGAACTGCTCGGCAGCGGCGCGGATCGACTTGAAGGAGGACAGGTCGAGAGCTATGTGTCTGATATCGACGGATGGGACCTGCTCCCGGACTGAAGCGATGGCGTCTTCGGCTTTGGTCGCATTCCGCGCAGCGAGGTAGATGCGAGATGGGCGGTGACGAGCGAGTTGGAGGACAGTTTCCTTCCCTAGACCGGCATTGCCTGAGACAAGCAGAAGTTAGCGCACTGAGAAAGACAGCCCAAGGTGTGTAGCAGAAGACATACCTCCAGTGACGAAAACAACCTTCCCTGATAGATCGTTGATGTCGCGCTCCGGATTGAAGGAGTACCCCAGCAGTCCAAAGGTGATTTCACTCACTGTCGGACCAAAGCTGCAGTAGGACTCCACGGGGCGGGAGAGCACATTTGAGAGGAAATTGACGACAGATGCCATTGATTGCGAGTATCAGTAATGCTATTAAAACCACGTAGACTGTAGAGGCGCAGAACCACTCAAGTCACAGTGGGGAGAGGATAGCAAGACCAGTTTCGAAGGGGGCACGGGCGCCGCCCTCGGTGCCGGAGATCATTTCGATGAATGGAAACTCCGTGAACTGTGACATCTCACATGTTGCATGTAGGGGGTAGGACGAGCAATTGTCTTATAAATAGCCGAGAAGGACGCATAGTCTGGATTGGACAGGATGACGACTGAAGAAATACAGAGACAGATGAGATAGTCCAGGAGTAGATGGAGAAGGCTGAGAGTTCGTCTTACGTTAGTGGCATAGTGGCAGGCCAGTGCTTCAGCTGACGGTCGGAAGGCGTAGTCTAGTTTAGTATTCAACACATTTCCTCATCTTCTTCTCTTGTCAGCAATTGTTGCCCAGGATCACATCTGTTCAGAGAGAAGTGACACAAAAAGAACCCCCTTCACAAGACAACCATCCAAAATGCGCTTCCTTTGTCTCCACGGCGCAGGTACCAACGCCGAAGTAAGCAAGCATCTTCCCTGTTGGCGGGCTCTCTCTGTCTTTGGCTTATCTCCGCTTCCCCGCCATCCAAATCTAACCGTTGGAACAAAAACAATAGATCTTCGAGATCCAATCCGGTACTTGAACAACAGTCCAATCCGCCAGGCCCATGATTGCCAATCTAACTTGTATCGCAATCAGGTGGAATCTCCTACGACCTCGGTAAATATGGCCATACGTTTAAATACTACGATGGCTGCATGGAAGCCGAAGTTGAGCCTCGTACATCTCCCCCCGCCCTCCACACCAAAGAAAAGATTCGGAGTATATCTGGAGACATGTGATGGCTAGCTAACACTCTGAATAGAGCTAAAAGGCCTCTTTACTGGCCCCTTCTACAACCACTATCCTCGTGACCGGGCACCGGGCGAATATCTCGCCCCCGCAATGAAGCACGTTTACGATATCATCGAGCGTGAGGGTCCTTTCGACGCCGTCATGGGATTCTCGCAAGGTGCTGCCCTGGCATGCGCTATGATTGTACACCATGCAAAGACGCATCAAGAGCCTCTGTTCAAGGTCGCCGTGTTTATCTGCGGTGCTGCGCCGTTTGACAGCACGGGGAATGAGATCATCCCTGACACTTCAGCTGAGGGCGAGTATCCGGTCAAGATCCCCACGGCGAATATTGTGGGAAAGCAGGATGAGCTGTATCCCTCTAGCATGCATTTGTCCAGGCTGTGTGAGCCGAGTAAAATGAGTTTCCATGATCACGGCTCAAAGCATATGGTGCCGTTTGATGTGGAGAACACTAATGCTATGGTGGCTGCTATTGAGGCTGCGGTTCAGAAGGCTTTGAGGGGAGAGTAAATGTGGGTGGAATATTCGATTACGAGCGATGAATAGATGGTTACTAGATTTCGTCATTTCATGCATCTTGATCTATTATGTATTCAAGCTAATTGTATGTTCAATCCTGCTTTATCGGCGCATCCCGTTTCTTTCCCGAGATGATCCCCAACAGCATAACCGCAATTCTCCATATAACGATGCCAAGGAAAATGCTGTATGTGATTCTAGCACCTATAGATGGTGCAGCAGGCACGGATCTGCCGTCACCAAGTCATAATCCGGCGGCCGACTGACCCTCCTCCGGAGGAATAGCCTTCTGAAGGAACCTTGTCAAATCTTCGATCTCCTCGGGATCGGCAGAGTGGCCGAGATCACTACCCATAGATCAGTAAGCCATTTCAAGAAGAACCAAAGGAAACAGAACACTCACGAGTAAGAATGGAACTCGACATCCTCGACACCCAACTCCTTAACCATCTTCGCCGACTGCTTACCGAAATCAAACTTGACCACCTCGTCCTCCTCGCCATGTGCGATGAAGAAGGGCGTCTGCTTGTTCGGCCAGTTCTCGGGGATGAAGTTCTTGATCCGGTCATGCAGCAACAAGTAGCAAGAAAGACCGAATACACCACCCAGCTTCTCCGTGCTCGTGAGACCCGCAAACAAGGACATCGCTCCACCTTGCGAGAAGCCTCCGAGGACAATGCGGGAGGGCTTGATACCCTTGTCAATCTGCTCCTTGATGAGGGAGTTGAAGTATTCACGGGAACGGAGGACGCCCGGTTCGTCCTGGTGGCGGATGGCTTCTTCGAAATCCAACTATACAGCCATTAATCTCTTTACCCCGGGATTATAGATGTGGAAGCACCACTCACGTCACGACCCAGCTTGGAGATGTCGTACCATCCCGGCATGGACATTCCAAAGTTCTATTACCCGTCAACTCAGTCCAGTATTCCCAGAGTTCCATAGGTGACGGCCATCGCATACCACTGTGATAGGGATCATGGGGGCGTTGGGGAAAATGAAGGCGACTTCATCGAACATGCCGCGGCGGCGCCAGTTCTGGGCGAGAGCCATCCTATTTCGGTTCAGTTATTCGAGTCTCGTTGAAGGAGTAGCTCCCGTCGTCAACGGAAGGGAATAGTCTCGATTTACGTACCATCCAGCACCACTGTTGACAAAATAACGTTAGCCAGTTGTACATCATTTAGAGCGCCGTATGCTAGGGACCAACCTGTCGCCCAAACCGTGGGCCATGATCACCGTCGCGGTGTGCTTCTTCAGCGCCGGAACAATAAAGGGGGCGCGTGTAGCCATTTTGAAGTTATCACCCTTGGTTAGATGAGACACCGTACACAAAGGTTCGTGTTTAAAGGATGGAAACAGTGGAAGAGAGCCATGGATTATGCCGAGCGGACGGCCTCTCCCCGCGATTCTGCCGAGGATGTTGTCCCTACCGCCTTCGGAGATTGGCTGCTTATCGATGATGGAATGGTTGATCACGAACAGTTTATTGACGGCGGCTACTGTTGGATGTGTCTGTTTTGTTGGGTATAAACAGAGTTTCCATTATGCTGGCATTAGTCTTATGAAGATTGTTCCAGAGGTGGATGATGACTTGAAGTACTGTGTAGTGCTGCTCCGGATCCCCAACTACAGTAAGTAAACATGGTTAGTATAAATTTATATATTACTTAAGTGAAGAAAGGTGTTCATGGTCATCTATGGTTTTCACTTCAATACTCAATACTTACTGGAAATGGATATAACAAACAGTGTCCCTTTGCTTATGATTCCATCAGCTTCCAAGGAAACCATTTGTCCAATAGCTAATACACTGGGTTATATCAGGTCTTAGTTGTTCAAAAGTGATCATGCAAGTGTAAGTAACGGTTACCAACCTCCAAGTAACCAATTTCTACTAGTATCCTAAATTTATGCAACAATACGGCAATGATCAATAAGGATAATTAAGTTCCAGTAACCTTGAAATCCAATAGCTACCAACAGTATGTTACTTTTATATTTCAAAGCAAGACATACCCTTCCTCTCTACCTACGTAATGAGATTGCATTGATTTATCAGCCAAGGTTTTTCTCGAAAGTAGCTCAATGATAAGGGGAAGTATATCCTGTGATATGATAGTCACCAGATCAGCGCTGGCTGTATATGAAGTCAGTCCCAGTACCAGTTGCATATCATTGGGACTGAAAGTAAGAGCAGTACACCTGTACTCTGAAGAAAGATCGATACAAATACATCTCCATAGAACCTGAAGCACGCGGTCCTCCTCAAAGAAAAGAATAGAACAGCAGAGGTGTCTATCCTAGAATCGGGGCATGATCTGATCAGACTTCGTGATAGTATTGAAGATATTGACTATTGGGATGTGCATGATTGAACGCAGGTTCAATTACAAAACGATACAATGTACTCCTAATAGATTCTTATGATTTTGCGGGATTTTGATTGATTCTCGCTAATTACAATGGGTATTCATTAATCATAAAACGCATGGTGCACTTCCATCCGCAACAAGATGAGTTTGGAATCCGAGAATGTATAGCCAAGCGCGGGTTGAGAAGTACTAGTGACCACAAAACATGGCTCCAACTTTCTATACATGAATGATGAGCCTGAGCACATACCAAGGATGTGTCACCACAGGATGTAATAGACATTGGATTGTCGGTGAGGGACATCCCAGAAGTCCGAATAAACAATGTTATGCTGATAGACCCTGAGCTCTAGAAGAATAATCATGAGAAGGCAAAGCGAGTGCGAGCCAAGGTTATCCTCTGGTGTACCAAGTCGCCTAATGCAACATAGACAGTTGTGCATTGGACTACTCTTACAACAGAGCCATTCCACCGACAACCGCAGCGCCTAGCATACCCCACGCAGCAGTCTCCAAAGCAACAGCACCACCAGTGGAGGTAGCAGCGCTTGAGCTGCCCGAAGAGGTGCTAGAAGAGGAGCTGCTCTGCGCTTCTCCAGAGGCAGTGGATTCATTGGCGTTGCGCTCGGCCGCAGCTCCAGTGAAAGCCACAGCAGTCACACCGGTGTTGTTCGAGCAGGAGGACGGTTCTTCGTAGGAGACGGTGGAGGAAAACTGGATGTCGGCGCACTGGGCGAGGTTAGCATCTACCCACACATAATGATTGACAGGGCAACATACAGCGTAGAGACCTCCGGTGGGATCACCATTGCTCTGGACCTGAACAGTTGCGTTCATTCCATCGGTGATGTTGGTGCCAAGGATGGATTCATCGAACTTAATATGCGGAAGACAGAAAGCACCCAATCCTTGGATTTCAAAGGTCTGATGAAGGGTAATGTTGTAGTTGGTTCCAGGATCGGAACCCAGTGCCAGGAGAACCTCGACAGCAGTCTGGGAATGACCCATGGACAATGCGACGGGGAAAGAACCGGCGGAAATAGAGACCTGCGTACGATTGCTGGACTGGGCAGCTCCGCCGCAGGGGAATTGAGTCATCTGCTCTTCAGATCCATCACGGCTGGTAGGATACTTGAGCTCGAAGTGGGCGGCGACCAAGGGCGCAAGAGACGCCAGGTAGAGAATAGGGAGCTTCATGATGGTGAAGGTTGTGTGATCGGCGGTTTGTAGAGCGAAGGTGCCGTGGGATAGATGTTACACAGGGACCCTCGATGGTTTTATACTTATGCAAGACATGCTCTGAGCGGGTAAGAGCTGATTATAATGAAATTCTACGGCAGGACCGGGATTGTACAGGGTTAAGCGAGGTAATTACAGAATGAGCGAGTATTATTCCCGAAGAAGAGACCAAAGCCGATGGATCTGATACTAATCACTACTTAGTAACATGAATCTTGGATATTGTTTTGTGCCACTGAGAAGCTGGAGCTCCAGGGACCCTGCAGTGAGTCCTAGCAGCACTAGGGCTGATTGGGTTAGGAAATGTGCTCATTTCTTCTCAAGACTGGCAAATCCGGTGAAGTTCCCCGGTTCAAGTCCGCCATGTGGGGGATTGCCAAGCCTGTCCATTGTGCCTGAGCCCATGTCTATACCCTCGGATATAAGACATGGGGGACTATGTTGTGAACTAATGTGGTTATACGGTGTCAACTTACTAGTAGATGGTTTCAGTGTCAGTTAGAGGGCACTAGATAATCAAGGAACGGACGGTACCCCGCTCATCTTTCTAGGCACATCTTACTTCCTCCACTGAGTCAAATCTAGATAATTCATCTGTCTAACAGTTCCTTCGCGCGTACTTGGCTGTCTCGACTCTACAGGAAGGATTGCATGATTCTAGACCCAAGATAATCTGGCGAGTTTGACATGAAGAATACCGTTGCACTCGATAACTATGATTAATATTGCGTTTCGACACCATACACTCATTCTAGGAAAGCACTATGTTGATACCGTGAGGATTGGAAGGAGAGCCATCAGCAGCTTCCCAAATAAATAAATGAGAGAAACAGACGGACAGCTTCAAATGCGGAAGTCACCTGCTGTCTGGCAATGCAGTCCAGAACAACTGATGGCGGGAAGCACCCGCCTCAGACAACAGAGTTGTCCGTGCTACCTTTACGTGCCATTGCCACACTGCATATCAAATAGTCTTACAGAAATTTACTTAGACTCCAGCAATTCCCCAGCAATTATTCAGTATGTTGTTTTTCGATTTCTTGAAGCGATTCTACTATGCGGCAGTTAGCTCGCCGACCCCGAGGAAGAGGGATGACGCCATCAGAATAGGACTGCTTGGAGCATCCTCCATAGCGTAAGTTGATGAAGCACTAACTTGCAGGCTATTAATTTATGTCTGCTCTAGTCCCCTGGCGATAATTTTACCCGCCTTGTCGCACCCGGAAGTCATCGTGGCAGCGGTCGCTGCTCGAGATCCCGAGCGCGCCCGTCAGTACGCCGAGAAGTACAGCATTCCGATCGTCCATAATACTTATCAAGGTGAGATTCTCCACAATTGGCTTGAACTTGACGGAGCATGGATGGGTCTTAATGCACGTGTCAGAACTTCTGAGCGATCCAGCCATCGACGCAGTCTATATTGCTCTGCCGAATTCCCTACACTTTGAGTGGGCCCTGCGTTCCATACAAGCAAGAAAGCATGTTCTTCTTGAGAAGCCGTCCTGTTCGAATGCCGACGAGGCAAGGTCACTCTTCAGACATCCTTTAGTGACTGCGCCGAATGCCCCGGTTCTTCTTGAAGCTTTCCACTATCAATTTCACCCAGCCTGGCAGGCTTTTCTCTACCAGATTAATCACCTTCCCTGGGGCGCGACTGTAGAGCATGTCTATTCCCAGCAGTATCTTCCCAAAGGGTATTTGGAAATGGACGACATCCGCTTCCACTATGGCTTGTCAGGTGGCTGTCTCATGGACCTAGCAACGTATCCCCTTTCCTGCGTGCGGCAGGTGCTGGGTAGAGGGGAGCATCTCAATCCCATTGAAGCACTGCATCGCCCCTTGCCTGTTGCATCAGATGGATATCAGCCGGAGCCACAGATTGACGCGGCAATAAAAGCTACCTACGCTACAGACAGTGACAAGACCGCAGAAATCAGGGGTGATCTGTTATTTGGAGGAGGGTTCTCGTTCCTCCCGGCGGCATGGTCTCATTCCCTGCCGTCGTTCAGGTGGCCCAAGACTGAAGCAAGAACAGGAGAGATGCTGCTTAATGGATTAAACGATGAAGTGCGCCACTTTGTCAGAAGGAAAATCACGTTGTGGAATCACCTCATTCCGACGGTCTACCACCGGATCGATATCTGCGATACACATACTCTCCGCCGAGGGGAAGAGGTTGTGAAGACGTGGGATGTGATGGAGTATGCCAAAGCATACAACTGGCCAGCGGGCGATGTGCGAGCGCAGACCTATCAGGAATGGTGGACTACCTGGCGCTGCCAACTAGAAGAGTTTGTCAATCGGATCAAGGGTCGTGCGGGCTCCGGGGTGTGGATCGACGGTGAGGAGAGCATTGCGCAGATGGAGGCGATCGACGATACGTACGCTCAGGCGGGATTGCTGACACGGCCGACCAGTGCTTTTGAGGTTGCAATTGATAGAGATCCGGGGACCAATAGTCTGAGGCCTGCGTATTACTACAAATTGTCGATAGAAAGTAAGTAGTCAGTATCTTTACGAATGGATTTCCAACTTGAATAGCATCAACACTATGAATCTAAAAGACATCGCAGCGTATCAATTGCCATTCGCGGTTAGTGGCATGGATCCTGCCCGCGCCGTCCGTGTGGTCCCGTCCGCACCAATAGGAGGGGGACAACCTACAGCCGATCACGCCACGTCTGGATTCCGTCCGCGTGAGGCCAATAGTCCATTGTAACCTGCAAAGCCTACAAGGATTATGTAGTATACCCATGCATGTGATGTCTTTCGACCGAAACCATGTTATTATGCCGACACAGTCCAAAACCTCCCCAGACATTATCTCTATGTACTGAAGTCTAAGCTAATCACACACCGTCGACTGTAATGGTATCAGGGCAAAAAAGAGACACAGAGCAGAGATCCGAGAGACCAGTAAGCGAAGAGTGGTATCTGAAAACAACCAAAAAGCCAACAGTGCACATGCGTGACACTCGCTATCCCAGAAATATGAAATGAATGCAATGCAATGCAATGCAACGCCAGGCCAGCACCGAACACCCGAACCGAGAACACCGTGCGAAATAGAAGTCGTTATGTTCGAGGAACCGGAAATGAATATGTATGTATGCATGTATGTGGGTAGGACTAATGTTCATGCTCGTTCCACTGGATGAAGCGTCCCACGGCAAGTTCGCCCAGAAAGGCACCGGCTAGGACGGAGCAGAAGTATCCGATGTTCATGGTCATGACGGCCAACATCCTGTGATTGTTGTATTAGTATTTGTTCAATATTTGTGGAGGTGAGGTAGGGGAACATACAGTAGGTAAGAAACACCGGTGATGACCAGAAAGAGCAGCGCGCGAGGGAGATCTGTGCTGAATCGCCAAGGGAGAGGTTCGCGGGCCGCTTTATGGATGACTTTGACTTTCTCCTCGACACCTTGGGCCGTGATGAGACTGGCTTCTTTGGATTCAGGATCAGCGTCAATGCGACCTGCTTCCGTGGATTTCCCTGCGACGGCGATGTAGCGACGGTTGACGTGGGCGTCGAGCCAGCGGCGTTCCATGAGGGCTTTGAAGGCGGCCAAACAGCGGGAGATGATGGCGAGGACGATGAGGAAGATACAGGTGCCGGCGTAGGTGCCGCTGGAGGACGGGGTCCATTGGTTGGAGAAGAGGGGGGTGTCGTGGGCGTTCATGAAGACCATTGACATGGACATAGACATAGAAGAAGAAGAGGAGGAAGAGGTGGACATGGGCATGGACATGGAGGTAGAGGTGGAGGAGCCCATAGACATGTCCATTGTGGACGATGCGGTGGAGGTAGCCATTGACATGCCGGACATGGTAGTGGAGGTGGTTCCCATGTCCATACCGGTCATTGAGCTCATGTCCATTGTTGGTAAGTCGTGATGTAGTGTGAGTGGAGTAAAGTAGGATTAGGGTGGTGTTTGGTATGGACGGTTCGGGTAGGAGGTATGAACTGGAATGTGGGAAAATGGATATATTTAAAGATGTCAAAGCACCAGCCCTATGTACAAGATACTTTATATGACGGGATTGGGAAAAGGAAGAAAATGAAAAGAGGAATCAAATGTTAATGAAGACATAGAAAAGCGGGCCATGGCTGTCACATCCGGTGATTTTCCGCATCTTTAAAGGACCTTGAAAACTCGCGGACCCGCCAGGTAAGCGGCCGATGGCGCTAGAGCACATTTGGGCGGCATTTGAGCACATTTTGGCTGCGGGAGCCAATCAGCAGCTGCAGAGCTCAAGGCCCGTCCGAAAGCATGGCCGGATTAGCAGGTGGGGATTGAGCAGATTATTACTACTCACTGAGTCGCTTTGACTATTATTCCCTCTCATTTTCTCTCAATTATACTCAATATGACTGACTAGAGTAGATAGGCAGTATTGGCATCGGGTTCGATCTCGGGCCCTTAGTCGCTCGTTTTCGCCTAATTGTCATTTGCTTCCTTCTCTTTCGTTCCCCGCGATATGTACATCGTGCATTTCTTCTACCATCATGCTTGAATACAATTCCTTTCATTTCTAGTATATACTGATCTCCCTTTCTTTATACCCTAATCCGGATACTAGTCTACATACCTGCAAGATGGACATGTCCATGTCTGGCATGGGCCACATGTCCATGGGAGATGGCGTGCCTGGTCTGTTCTACCTGCAGAAGATGTACTGGGCTGTTGTAGGTAGTGCCATCGCTGCTGGAACGGTCATTAATATCCTGAATCGCTTTCTCGCCTACCAAAGGTAAGCTCCATTGTCTATCGAAACAACGTATGCTCATTCCATCAGGCTAAAGGACTCGTCCTTGACTCCCTCCAAGCCCAAGTCTATCTTCTTCAGTACATATGCCACCTTAACGGCCATCGTGCGTGAAGCTAGCTATGCAACCTTGCCCCCTTTGTCATTCCGCGGCCACTCCTATCACTTTGCGCCGCTGGGCCCGGTGTCTATCATCCTGGCCAACCTCATCGTCGTGCTCGTCTTTTGTTTCTACAAGCTGGACACGGCGGACCAGTGGAAATGGGAAGATGTGGGCTACCGCACTGGCTTCATTGCCATTTGCCAGCTGCCGTTGATCTTCTTGTTGGCAGGCAGGCAAAACCTCATTGGCATGCTCGTAGGTATGAGCTACGAGCGTCTTAATTGGTTCCATCGGTGGATCGCGCGGACGCTGTGGTTGACCGCTACAATCCACATGTGCTTTTGGTTTCGTGATTGGGGCCGTTATAACTACATCGTCTACGAGCTGAAGAATTACACCCTGGCAACGAGAGGTTTCGCCGCATGGATTATTTTGACCTTCATTGTGATCACGTCCGCCGCACCGATTCGACGGTTTGGGTACGAGTTCTTTGTTTTACAGCATCTGGTGACTTTTGTTGGTTTCACCGTTGCCGTGTGGCTTCATGCACCGGCAGAAGTCAAGGTGTGGGTGTGGATTCCCATCGGTTTTCTTGTCTTTGACCGGGTGGCGCGCTACTTGTGGGCGACCTATGTGAATTTGTCGATCTTCCATCGTTCAAAGAGACCGGGCCATGCCCTCTGGGCTAACCGGGCGACTTTCACGCCATTGCCAGGCAATGTAACTCGTATAGCGATTGAGAGTCCCGGAGTCGGGTGGAAGCCGGGTCAACATGTGTTCCTCACATGCCACTCCATTGTGCCTCTGCAGAGCCATCCCTTCACCATTGCGTCCATACCAGAAGACAACAAGATGGTGATGTACGTGCGCGCAGAAAAGGGCGGCACTCGACGCTTTTTCCGATATGCATCGAAGAACCACCAGGTGCTTGGGGCTAGTGACCAGGTGGCTGTGAAACAGGCACGCACAGTCTTCATCGAGGGACCGTATGGACAAATGCGGCCTCTGAAGCAGTTTGACAGCGTGATCCTACTCGCCGGCGGTATGGGGGCGACATTCACCGTGCCTTGCCTGCGGGATATAGTCGCCAAGTGGAAGGCTGAAAGCACAGCGCGGCTTGCAGCAACGAAGCGGATCCGATTCGTCTGGGTGATCAAATCGCGCACGCAGCTGAGCTGGTTCGACCGTCAGTTGCAAGAGGTGCTTAGGGATGTCGAGGAAGTCCGGCTCGCCAATCCGGACGTCATTCGGGAAATCGAGATGAGCATCTACATTACTTGTGACGAGAAGCTAGAGCAGGCACAGAACACGCTCTGCGCCCAGGAACAGTCGTTGTTCCAGCTGCAGACAAGCTTACCTGCGAACGAGAAATCCCTCGAAGCGGAGAAAGCAGCGACCGACACTGTAGCCATAGAATCTGTGGAGCAGTCTGGCTGTCAACCAGACGGAACATGCTGCTGCACAGCACCCATCAAAGATGAAGATGCCATCGACGCTACAACCTGTACATGCTCAGGGCATGCCGCACCGCAGTCTACCAGCGAGCTTGCAACAGGATCAGACTCGAAGCCAACGCAGAAACCGCTGCCCAATCTTACAGTCCTGTCTGGTCGACCGCACGCGCGCACGATCATCCGCAAGGTCCTCGAGAAAGCAGAGGGCGAGAGCGCGGTAGTGGTGTGTGGACCGAGGGGGTTGTCCGACGACGTGCGACGCAGCGTGGTGTGTCTGAGCGATGAGCGAGCAGTACATAAGGGGACGGGGGCGCAGGGAATATACCTGCATGTTGAGCAGTTTGGGTGGTAGTGCGCAGCAACAAGTAAATAGCATATGTTTTAGATGAAATGATACCCTAACCACTTTAACAATAATGATATCAAACCATTAAGCAAGATGCCTCTTCATTAAACATGATTAAGTAAAACCCTATACTGTACGATAATCAAGCAATAGCCTTTCCATCCTGTCCATCAATAGGAAAACATCACCTCCCTCAAACCAAAAATAAAAAGAAATTCAAAAAGTCGGGCACCCAAACAGGCAACAAACCACTTCCCCTACACTCCATGCGGCGTAGCTCCAGTGAGTCAACCCATATGACGTAATCAGCCAGACCTCCGACCTACCCAACCACAACCACCAACCACTCCGATTATCTCCATCAGACCCCTGCTACCGATATCAACATCAACATCAACCACATACAACCTACCTACCAACATATACCCAATTCAATCCAACCCAATTCAAATCAATTCAATCTCATCCAAAATGGTCTTCCGCTTCGTACGTCCCCATCCCAATCCCAATCCCATCCCCAAACCCTCCTCACTAATCTCCTCCCCCCCGGGAAAAACAGGCAAAAACCCTCGACCCCATAACCCTCTTCCACGCCCCCAACCTCTCCAGCAGCAAATCCGCCCTCAGCATCCTCCAACGCGCATCCACAACAGCAGCAAGCACGACAGGTACCCCCCGCGGCGAATTCCAGCTGGAGGTGAGCACTGCGCCGCCGACGAACGACCAGTTGCGGAATATTCTCGAGTATGTATCTGGAAGTAACACGGGGAGCGGAGCCGGGATTGGCAAGGTGTATGGTGTGGGTGAGGTGGTGAGGGGGGCGAGGGATGCGGAGGATGCGGTTAAGAAGTTTAAGGCGGATCCGGAGGGGACTTTTGTTCGTCCGATTGTAAGTCAAGTCCAATTCTTTGGAATGGTTGGGATTGTGTTGGTGTCATGGATTGGGGATCATACTTTGGGATTGGGAATGCTAACGGGTTGCTGGTTTAGACAGTCGACTGGACGAAAGGACAGGCTGTGATTGGGGATAACGAGTCGGAGATTCTCAAAATGGTGCAGGAATTGGAGTGAAGGGATTGACTATTCTGATTCTAGTATACTGCACTCATGCAGGTCTACCATAGCTGTATCATACACAACTCCTTTCTCTTAACCCTCCCATTTCGTATCCGTTCCATTAAAAGTACTCGCTAAAACAATCCTCGAGATCCAGCTCGTGCCCGAATAGAACTCCCGTCATTCATGCAGTCTAAAACATCGTTCCGAATGATCCGTCCGTCGCGATCGGTTTGCGCGGTGAGCCGCGGCCTAGCCCGTCCATGGCCGGCTTGCGGTGTCTGTTGCTGTTAGCATATCTACAGATACACAGTTGATGGGGAAGCCTACCGGAATGTAAATCCAACAAATAATCCCTTGCTCATCTTATCATCACGCTCCGCCATCTCTTCTAGCGCGCGTTGCTTGTCGTGAACCTCCTTGTACTTGGCCATGTCCGCTTCGTTGGTAAAGTCGTCAAAGTAGCCCGCGTCTGTCTCCGAATCCAGCTCGGGCACAAACGGCGCACGCTGCTCGCGCAGATGGTTAAAGTCCACCTCACTGAAGTAGTCGTGCGCGTGGATCTCTTGGATGTTCTTGAACCGCTTCTCCTTCGACGCCACCAGCTTGGTGATGAGGTCCCACGTGCGTCGCGACAGGAAGTAGTTCGGGTCTTCGTACACCGGCTTGCGGAGCACCTTTTGCCAGTTCTTCAGGTTCTGCCACGTCTCGTCCACCGTCGCGCCCGCAAACGGCGGGTATCCGGCGAGGGCCTCGAAGAGCATGCATCCCAAACTCCAGTAGTCGACCGTAAAATCATACTGCTCACCCTTCAGCACTTCGGGTGCCATGTAGTCGGGCGACCCAACAATCGACTTGGCGTAGTTGACCTGGCGCTCTCGTAGCGACCGATAGCCCTGGCGACGCTCTGCCACCGTACGCTGTTCCATGGGGCGACCGAACGGCACCGGCGTGTTGCCAACCTCCTCCAGCTTCACCCGCATGGACTCAATCTTGCCAGGGTTTAGCATACCCGCCGCCAAGCCAAAGTCGGTCAGCTTGACGTGACCACTTGAGTCAATGAGAAAGTTTTCCGGCTTCAAATCACGGTGAATGTATCCCAACGCATGCAACGCATCAATGCAGCTGAACATCTCTGCAATGTAGAACCGAGCATGGCGATTGTGCAAAACTCCGGTGTTGTTCAGCAGCGTGCGAAAGTCACCTCCTGGCACATACTCCATTGCCAAATAGATCTGGTCGTCATCCTGGAACGCGTACAGCAGCTTGACCAACCAGTCGCTCTTGGCGGCCGTCAAGATATCGCGCTCAGTGAGAATATGGCGGATCTCGTCCAACTTGAAAAGTAACTTCTTGCTCATCACCTTGAGCGCGCACACCTCCCTCGTATCCTTCTTCTGCGCCAGATAGACCTGTCCGTAACCTCCCTGGCCCACTTGAGTCAAGATCTGAAAGTCGTGCTGGCGGAGTCGAGTGCGGCGTTTGCGGAGGTGGGCCCGTTCCCGACCCAGATATTTCAGCAGAGCGGGCTCATACGTCTCCATCGGAGTGGCGGGGGGCTCGGGGTTGGAAGACCGGAACTGCGCATAGCGGTTTTGGCGGTTGTGTACGTAGCTCAACAAATCAAAGTAGTGATCGAGGAAGTCTAAACAGTTAGCCAATACACTGGAATACCTGCAAGGTATGGCACCTACAAAGTTGTGTCACATTTACCAATCGCTTAACTCTAGGATTCTGCAGCTTCTCCAACTCCTCCGGGGTCAACCCCCGCATGGGAACCTGACGACGCTGAATACTCTCGAGATCTCGTTGCTGGTATGGCTCATGACGGGAGATGGCAGCAGCCGCGGGGTTCGGACCGAGGTCTTTGGTGAGACGGGTGGAGTTGGGAGGGGTGTTTTCTTTGTTGGCTTTGCGCGTGGGACTGCCTGGTGGCTGACGGATGACACTTTCGGTAAAGTCCTCGCCGGATCGGGGCGGCGCGAACATGGGGTGGTTGTAGTGGTTATAGGTGCCTTTGGTGGGCGAGGTGGGGTTCAGCTTGAGAGCTTTTTCGAACACGTTGGGCAGGTCGATTGCGCCGGGTGGCATGCGATTTTTGCTGGGACTCCCTTGGGGGGTTTGCACGGGGCTGGTGAAGCCATTTTCAGCGGGTGTGGAGGGGCGATCGAGAGCTTCATTTCCGGCACGAGTATGAAGGAGTGGCGGCGGGTTGGGGAGACGGAGGCCCGGGCGATCTGAGGTGTCGATATTGAGAGCCATGTTGGGCTCGGAAGTGTGCTGGCGACCGTTCTCAACTAAGGAGGTATGGACCAGCTCACAGACACGGGGGTCTCTAATAACGACCGCGAGGTGGGAGAGGTCGTGGCGGGGAGATTAAAAAGGAACGAGGGATAGGAAATTAAAGCACGAGTAGAGAGACTCGGAGTCCCAAGCAAATGGAAAAAGAAATGGGATGGAAAACAAAACGGAAGATAAAAAAAGCAAAGAAGGGGTGGAGAGACAGGAAAAAGCAACGAGGAAGAAGAGGAGACAGTGAAGATCAATGACTTTGTTCGGGCAGGAATGGAGAGAAGCAAGGACGATGACCCGACGAGAACAAGTCAGTCAGTCAGGGGAGAAAGAGACGATGCCCGATGGAAGTGATTGGGAATGATGAAGAAGAGGGAGGAAGAAAGAGAAGAAGAAGGAGAAAGAGGAAGTTGTTGAATGAAGTAGGGAGGAAGGGGAAAGAGAGGGGGGAAAGGAAGTGGAAGTTCAAGAAAGTGAATATTCTTTTCTCAACTTTCTTACTGTTCTTTCTTTCTTTGCTTCCTTCCTTTCTCTCAACTCATCCACTTTTCCCTTTCTTCTCCCAGTTACAGTTTAACTTCAGCAAAGCAAAAGATGAGCCGCAGCTGAGAACCAGCCACTCTTGACTTAACAGACCAACGAGATGCCACCGATCCAACTCTGCGCCGCCCCTCTCTCTGCGACCATCGCAACGTTGCTGGGGTAACTCCCTTGTTCCGATCCCATCTGCTCTCCAATGCTGGTGACGATGCCAGGGCCAGCCGCGAGTCAATCTCGTTCCTGACGCCCTTTCGGCTGGTGATTGGGGAACTCATGAGGCTGAGGATGGAGTCATCTTCTCCCACCACCAGTCAGAGTGTCTCTGCACGTCATTTTCCCACTCAACTACCTTTAGACGAGGAGGGGTGAGAAACTAGTGTGTCCAGCAATCTGGGTGAAACTAGTCGTCCTTCTATATCTGGAACCTTGTTGGGTGAGATCGTCTCCGATCCCATGGGGCAGATCTGAGTTGATCATTTACGGAGGGAAGGGAGGAGAATTGGTTGGTGGTGGTGGTGATGCTAAATTTTATCCCCATCCATCGGGTGTATACAGACAGTTCTGACACTGACAGTCACACAACATCAGTGTTTCGGTCTAGACTACAACAATTCCATTCTTTTAAATTAAAGCAATTCCAACATTGAAACAATACTAGTACTAGCAAGTTGATTTAGAGAAGAGGGGTGCAATCCACACCGGCGTCATCGCGCCCTGGTTCTTGTTTACACTTCCCGTAAACACAACCAAGGAACCGCTCCCATAAGCAGTGGAACCTTTCTGTCTCCCAAACCATGGTTCATCTCCCAGCCATCAACTAGACTACTATCCCCCCTCCCCCCCCCTCTCTTCCTCAATAAATACATAGTAATAAATAGCCCGTTTTACCAGCAAGGAATTTAATTCAACACAACCCAGGATATTTCAATTACATCATCACTCAGACAGTCTTGGCCCGTTGTCCCGTCTACCACCATCATTCAGTCAGCAACCAGGCGAAAAACAAAGCATTGAAAAGAAGCAGGATACAGAAGCAAAAACGAAACAAAATAAAAAATAAAAATGAAGATTGAAAAGGAATACTCACAAAAAAAGCCAACCCATACGACGGCGTCGTAAAAGTCACCTTACTCCCCTTGGGAAAATGAAACACATCCCCGGGAAAAGCCTCAACCTTTTGGCCGGTCTCATCCGAGATCTCGAACTTGCCTTCCAGGATGATCTTCATCTCATCGAAGGTGTATTCGTACACGAGTGGGGTACCCTTTTCCAGACGGTAGAAACCGGCCGAAATGGGTTTTTCGGGGTTGTAGCTGTCACTATACATTCCATTTTTAGTGTCTAATCGAACATACTCGTACACTCATTACTATGAGATAGCATGGGGGAAAAAGATTAATTAGTAAAAGGAATGGGATGGGGTATACCTCGAATCCACATCCCCCAAAAAGGCATTCTCATTGGCAATGAGCGGAGGCTCATAGGTTTGTTGGGATCGAGGGTGGTGCTTGAATGCGATGGCCATGTTTGGTGTAGAGATTTGTAGCAGTAGTCACAAATAGATAGTAAGTACTTGTATGAGTGTCTTCTAATATTCCATTCTCTAGATATACTGGGAGGTTATTGGCATTTTATACCAATACCTCTCCAACATTATCCTCGCTCATTTCTGATCTCATTACCTACAACGGATTACCTATACTCGTGCGGAGAGATCCGATTCATTCTCCTCCTCTTTGCTATTGCTGCTTGTTTGACTCTCTTCCCACGGATCCGACTCCCGTAGTGGGATAGATAGCACGCTTCGACATATAGTAGACATAGAACAGTACAATCCCAGTAGGAGTTGGCGAACTGAGGGGTAGCCAGTTAGTAAGCAAGCAGAGTAGTGAAACTCAATGAGGGGAATTTGCTCAGTTCCGAAAAGTGATAGATAGGGAGGAGTAAACCGGGGTGCCCTTGATAGTTACTGATAGAGAGAGAGACAGGTATAGTATGTACCGAGTACCACTACTATCGACTATCCTTGAAAAAAATTAGAATAGATAGATAGGATACCACATCCGAAAAGGAACCAAGACCTATTGAGTAAGATCAAGTAAGGCAAGGAAGGCATGGACATCCGACGCACGGCAGGGGAAGCGAGCAGACAGAGAAGCAAGCAGACAAGCAAAAACAGGATA